TATATGCAAGCAGTAGCAATGGTAAGCTTGAGAGTGGTGCACTACTCTCCATAGCAACTTAAGCAACTGAGACGGAAACTGTGGATAACTGCTTCTGTAAAGCAATCCACATAGCTGAGTATTTATACCTATCTATTTACCATGAAGAAGAGATTATGTTCACTACAGTTTATTTTTGCATCAATTTTGAATTTTGTGTAGATATATTCTCCAATTAAGGTTATATTTCAAATTTTTAAAAAGTAGGAAATCAACTAGACAACCAGAAATTCTATAGAAAACACCAGTTTTAATAAGTATTTTCATACCAACCATCTTCAAGCAACATGGGTCTACATGCCATGGAGTACAACAAATTTCACACAGCTCCTCAAAGATTTGAGGTAATTCTTCCTCAAATCTTAGGATACTTGAATTAATTAAACTTACATTAAATAACACTTACAAAAAAATGTATATTTGTCATATTCTCATCTTCTGTTTTAGGAACTAAATAGGGAGACAAAATACAGAAGTCTGCATTTTTAAATGGAAAAATCATTTCAGATTACTTATAAATAGGTTCAATATATTAAAGTATTCTAGTGATAAACAGTATTTTAAATCTTAATTCAAAAATTCTAAGTCAGTATTTTTTAAATTAGGAGTTGCCAGCTTGCATGTGAGATAAAGGTAGATTACGAGGGGGGACCCAAAAAACTGGAATTATATTCTGGAGAGCAGGCCCTTGTGGTACAGGTTTCCCCCACTAGGTGGATGTTCTAAGAACCCATCTGTGTATGATGTACCAGCTGGCATTGTGAGAGGCTGTGTTCAGCTTCAGTGACATTTTTTTGAAGACTCAACACATTTGCCCATTTTATAATGAGCAATTTACAAGCACACCTGCCCACACCAAGCTGAGTGTTCAGCAGTTTTTGACCAATAATGGCATGATCCCCCTGCCCCACCCCCACATTCACCTGATCTCACCCTGAGTGATTTTTTTTTTTCCTGGATGAATGAAGTCCTCAAATGGAAATGTTTTGCCAATGTGGTAGAGGTGAAACCAAAAACAGCAGAAGCACTAAAAGGCATCAAAATTGATGTGTTCAAAAACAGCAGTGAAAAAAATATACCCATCTTGATAGGTATATTGCATCAAATGGAGAGTTCTTTGAAGGTGACTGAAGTTTAAACATGTAAGAATAAATACACAATTTTTTGTAAATAAATTCTGGGGTCCCCTCTCCTCTATGATGCAAAACATATGATATCCATCAACCCACATGATTCTTCATACTTTTATAATAAAGAATATCTTTCTATAAATGGCCCATTTATTCAGTTTTTCTGGTATTAAGAAAGACCTGGGAAGATAAGGCCCCTGTGACATAAGTTGACATCAGGAAAGTCATTTAGTTGTATGTTATTTACCATCCTAAACTTTAAAAAAATCTGCATAAAGCACATGTTTGTTATGTTTCATGAACGGTTCTTCACGGTCTTAATATATTATTACTTAACATTTTTTATATTACTTTTTTTACTCAGTCATATCCTATTAGCTAAATTCTACAAAATACTTGGCATCTACTAATAACAGATAATTGTTTTTAACCTTATTGTAATCTAAAAATGATTAAATCATCAGGTTGTATATATGTAATGCATTATAACATTCTGCAAATCTTGGATGATAACTGACCTTTATCTCCTTATTTGGCTCAGCTCCCTTTCACACACATTATTTATCCCATCCCATGACCTATAATCTTATGGATAACACTTCCCACTGTGTCCCCATTCTTTTCATTTGAACCTCCTAAATGCTTTCACTGAAATCTAGCTTTTTCCAGAGGACACTTTGTGCCTTAGAAACCCTCTGTCTCAATTTGTGGGAAGAACAATCAGCCTATTTTATGTTTCCCAGTACTACTTACTGTTGTTATACCATCATCATCTCTCTGAAATCTATGCCATCTGATTAGGTCATCGTTGGCTATAATAATAACTTCCACTTCCCTAGATGAATCAGCACTGTCTTTCTTTTGGGCTGGTTCTGTTATATAGATCTTTTTCAAAGCCCATATTGATAACCCACTCAGCATCTTTCAATTCAGGGGCTTCTTAAAGCTAGCTTTTCTCTATTTCTTTTTGAGCCACCCAACAGCATGCCCACATTTTGGATCAGCTGTTGAATGAAGCAGTTTTTCCTAACCAGTGTCTTCTCTTTTTCTTTATACATCTCGAATTTATCCTTTTATCTGATTTTCCCTCTCATCCTATCTTTGAATTACTTACTGGTCTGTTTACCCCACTCTATTAGCTCCCTTTTGATGTTATTTGCACTTAGAACCAATGGTCAGTCTAGTATTCTTTATCCTTGGACTTTTCTGCTGTGGTTTCTTTGCCAACTTTTTCTTTCTCTATAATAGTTGCATGGTACAGTTCTAAATTATTACATGAAAATGCAACCTAGTTATTTGAACTTTTTATAATGGCCCCCATTTTTTTTCTATTAGATTGTTTCAATTTTAAAAACAGGAAACTTTACTGATTTTAAAATCTGTCAACTGCCTGACTTTAACAGGACCTCTCTGCTTCTTAATACAGTATTTTTTATATGTTCAAAACATTTTCTATATTGCAAGTGCTTAAATCACCATCCATTCCAAGGATATGACCTTGCCTCCTACTTACTAGAAAAAAATAGAATCCATCAGCCAAATTCTCATCTGTCTTCTCTATATCAAAATGTCTGTATCTATGTTATATCCAAATTAATTTTAACAAAGGGGTTTGTAGATTATTTTAAACTTTGTGTGCAAACCTCCATGTTTTCCTTTAACTATCTTTTCCTTCCCTCTTTACTCATAAGTATGTGTTTTCCTTTTCAGGGATAACCTGCCTCATCCAAAGCCTCCTTTAACAATTAAACTCTCCCCTCTTCTCTTCCACTCTCCATTTACCATTTCACCCTCTCTAGTTCATTTTTTTTAAAGTACAGTTTGCTTTCAATATTATTTTGTATTGGTGTCAGATGTACAGCACAGTGGTTAGACAATCACATACTTTACAAAGTGTTCCCCATGACAGTTCCAGTACCCACCTGGCACCATACATGGTTATCACAATATTATTGACAGTGTTCCCTGTACTGTACTTTACTTCATTTCTGACCAGCAGATTATTAAGTCAGAAACTGAAGGGTCTGAGATTTTCCTCTACTTGAAAGCTTGTTAGCCTGCCAGTTTTATATATCAATACATATACTGACAGAAAACACAAGACCCATGGGTCAGAGAAAAAGACCATTTATTACTCGTGGCAAAAACAACCAAAGCAATGCCTTGCATCACATCCCAAGCCCTAAGTGCTGTAAGTGAGGGCCTGATGTTACCTGTGCATGCAGCAGGGCATGTTACAGGAGAGAAGCTCCAAAATAAGGAAGAGAGACAAACACACCTTATCTTAACTCGTAAATGTAAGCAAATTTTTCACCAAGAAGAGAGGAGAATACTCCCCTGGAATGTCTCCAGAAAGGGAGATGTTCTCCATCTTCATTGTAATAACTTAGGAAACAAATCTTCCTTCTGACCTTAAGGTAGATATTATCTCTAATTTTCAAGGATGTTTGTTATACAAACCCCTTCATTCAAGAGACCGAGACCATGCAGAAATACACAGTATTCATAGAGACTTGTCTCCCAGCACAGATTTTCCCAGGTGTATTATCTTCAAATACACCTCAGAATTTATACTCACTGCCTTTGTTCTTTATTGTTCTTGACAATTGCAGAATTTAACAAGGGCTATATTTTCTTTCTTTCACCTTTAAACTACTCAGCTGTTTTCTATGACTAACTTGATTCTTAGATACCTCTCCCTTGCCCATTTCTCTTTTCTTCACTCTTTACAGTCTTTCTCCTTTCCTGTTACCTCTTGCCACTTATTGTATTGAATCAGATATTCTCCGTTCCTAGCATCGGATATGTTGTGATAGCATCTTTAGCATTGATATCAAAATGTGTTAAAATAGATGGTTTGTCTACTTCTTTCATGCACTGAGGTCCTTGAAAGCAGAAACAGTTTATTTGCAATATTATGAATCCATGGCAGCTTTCATAGTGTGTGCTTGTAAATGTTTGAAAACGGTAAGTATCAAATGCTTACACCATTTTTCTTTATAAGATTTTATACTTTCCTCTTTCTTTCCAGGCTCCCAAAGTTCATACCCTATTTCAATAGTCTTATAGCTGGTCTTCCTACTTCAAGTCTGTAGTTCCTTTACAATAGCCTCTACAGTGATACCAAATTAATGAAATTCAATATTTTAGAATGCCTACATAAAAACCTTCAATATCTTTCCATTATCTGAATTATAAAGCCCAAATTCACCAGTAAGGAACTGAGAATTTCCACACTATACTCTCAGAATTTTTCCATATTTATTTCAAATTTTTCTTACCTAACTGCTTAACTTTGTTTAACAACTATTTGAGGATCTGCTTTTTGCAAGGCTTTGTGAAGGAAGGAAATTTACTGTGTATGGTATATGCTCATTATTGTAGTGTTCAGTATTTGGTCCCTTGTTTCCTCTTAACTACTTCAGTTCATCTTAGGGGAAAATAATCTATGGAGAACACTCAGCCATATTCATATAGTAAGTAGTTCCATTTTAGGACAAAATGTTAAGTAATAATGAAGTTCAGAATTGGTGGCAAGCGATTCAGCACAATGTCTGGCTCATAATAGAAGTTTAATAAATGTTTAAACTGAATTCTGTATAAGTTTTTAAAGACAGAAATGTAGGACTATAAAAAATTATTAACTTATTGTTTTAAACCTTGGGAAACCTGTCTATTTTTGCCTCATGTTACTTCTGCTGTTAACATTTAAATTTTACTTGTTATCTATTGTTATTTGCCCTTGTATCACTTTGAAACACAAAGCCAAAACAAATTTAAGAATATTCTATTACACGTTTTTAAAACTTACTTTCTATACTCTCTTTATAGGTTATATGTAAAGTCAGATGTGCCACTGAACTTGACAAACACAAGTAAGTTTCATGAGTAGCAAGATTTAAATTTTATTGACAGTAGACTTCTCAAGGTCAAAGGACATGGTGGTTGAGGGTGCCTTAGTAGTTCTATAGAAAACAGATTAGTTCATAGGAAGTGAACTGAGTAACCCACAGTACTACAGTACTTTCCCTTCAGCCATATTGCTGTCTAATACCTTCTTTCTTATTTTTTTCTGCCTTACTATTATCCTGCTTCAGATGTCACATGTAGTTTCATAGAGTCCACAAACACTGAAGTTAGATTATGCTATTAGGGAAAGGAATGTATTGTATGGTTCCATGAAATAAGTAACATTTCAGTACTGATTAACCTCAAAAATTCGAGCCAGTAGATTCTGACTTCAGACCAGTTCTCCCACTAATTTGCTAACTTATTCTTTGGTTTCCTAAACTGCTATAATCCCCAGGCTATATGGATAATTTCAAGATCTGTTTTGGATTTTGAACTATATAATTATCATTTAATTATTTAATCAGAATATTAAGATCTAAACTTAATATTAAATTAAAATCTTTGTACTTTGCATGTACATTTATCAAAGATTGTTTGTTACAGATTACTTTACATATTACCTTCAATTTATCATGTGTAAACATGGTAAACAGGCAGGCAATGTTTTATGATTTCCACTATTGAAAGTGACCCCAAATAGAAGATATAAGGATGCCAAATAAATTTCTGGAGCATATTAATTAGGAGTATAAATGTATGTGAACTGAGATTGCTTTCATATAGATAGCTGTTACAGCTACTTGATACAGATAGCCAGCCCTTACCCTGAAGAGTTTTATGAAGTAGTCTCATTTTTCTTAGGGGCAAGTTTTTAAGCATTTCATTTTCAGAATTTCTCTGTATGCATAGTAAATGTGCAACTTTATAAGAAGATGAAGTGTTGATAAGTGCTTGAAACTCTATTATCCCTATGTTCTTGTCATGTTTGAAAGTAATGTTTGGTATGGATAATGAGAAGTTTATAAAATTAAACAGTGTTTAAAACATATTTCCCTTCCCTCTTAAAATCGATATTAGTGATCAATTTAAATTTAGGTAGTTTATTATTTTTCCAGACAAATTATAAAAGCCTGGTATTTGTTGAAATGGAAAGATCAATGAAAATATGCTTAGTAGTTATAGAAATGAAAAATTTAGGATTACCTGAATTAATGTTGAAATAATCCTACATTCTTCCTGATACAGGTAATTGAATTCAAGTGCATATGAGATTATTTTTAAATTAATGCTTTAAATTCTAATGCCATTTTAAAAATGGTTTAGTGACTAATTTTATAAAAGCAAAGATAGCTCAAGTAATTCTGAGTGACTGTTAAATTTGTATTTAATGAAATTACAAACATTTTAAACTGAAGGAATTATTGTATCTAAAGTAACACACTAATATATTTAATTTCTTATTAGTTTTATAAATATCTAATAAACTTATCTTTTTCTTTCAGAATTCTATTGCATTTGGGCTTTATATTGGCAAGCCTTATCTTTTTAGTGGTGAACTTGACTTGTGCAATGCTAGTCCATGGAGATGTCCCGGAAAATCAATTAAAATGGACTGTGTTTGTTCGAGCATTAATTAATGACAGCCTGTTTATTCTTTGTGCCATCTCTTTAGTTAGTTACATATGCAAAATTACAAAAATGTCATCAGCAAATGTCTACCTCGAATCAAAGGTAAGTATGTTTCTTAAATTTTCCCTTGAAAATCTAACTTCAGATCCTCTTATGAAGCATATTTTAATGGGAAGTTTATATATTTTTTAAAATATTCTGATTTTCAGGTACATTTTTTAGCATAAAAGTATGGTCACAAGAAATCGAAAAGTGTTCAAACCTTGGCACTTAACAATGGTTTTTAAAAAGTTTATACTGAGCATATTGTATTTTCTGTGATTTGTATCTTCTGCACTGGACGCTAATTAAATGAAATAAACCAGAATTTATATCAATGTATTACAGATAGTCTAATACATAAAGCCAGAGTAACGATTTAATATTTCCCCAATAAGGGTGACAGTGTTGCCATTAAACAAATTTACCAGATTATTTATACATACATCTGGATTAGTAGTGTTAATATTTCATACAGGTAAAGTGGTGTTTTTTTGTATAAAGGTTTAGAAAATGTTGTTTTACCCCCTAATATTAAGTTCCTATGATACTTGAAACATCTAGTCATGTAACTAAATTTATAAAATGCCTTGATTCTCCCTTATACTTTGGATCAGCAAAGGAAACCAAATGCTAACCCATTAACAAAGAACCCTGGAAGTTTCTGTTGCTGATTGAAAATGTGGTTGAGCCTATGAATCAGTCATCAGAGTGTATATGTGGCATTGGATATGGGATTATAGATGTATGGTTATTGGGATGTGGGTGTATTGCATGTACATGAGTTTGCTTTCATTTGCCTATTCACTGAAGATAAGCAAGATGGTGTCCTAAACAGAAGAGTTCTCCAAAATATTTTTAGACTACCATATTGTTATTATATTTAATATGGTCCTAGTAAAGTTAAGTATTATAAATAAATGTATGATAATCAACTTGTCTTTAAATTTAGGTGGAAACCATAATTTTACTTTTTAAACTATATCAGTAGAATGCAGAATAAATACAGAAATATATATGATATTATAGGAGGGGTATGGGGAAGGGAGAGACTAACTTAGACTTTTATACATATTAATCATACATGGAAAATTATTTTATTCAACTTCTGTTCTAAAACATTAGTTCCTAAAGTTTAAATATTTTGGCTAATTTTGCCTTTAGTTTAAGTGTTAAAAATAATACTGTCACTATTATGGTACATAATCTTTTGGTGTAACAACAGCACCTTCACTTAATGTAGTAACATCACCATAGACTTCATACCTCTTGCTTGTCTAGTGATAAAGTATAAATAAATGTGGTTGACTTTAAAGGGCTTCCTTTTTGGATACCAAGCAACTTTCTAAGTTTGGTTTTACTTGCTTTGAAATAGATAATTCTCTGAATATAGTAAAATTGCCAATCTGAGAAGAAAAATTCGTCTGATAACTCCTCCAAATTTATTTCAAACATCTTACCCTAACTATCATGTGACAGGTATTCACTTTATTATTTTTTTTAAAGTCTTAAATTTAAAAGGTGCATGGATTCAGAATTCTCTAGGAACACTACAGACACATGTTCAAATGCATACCTATAAGGGTAAATAAATATGACATGAGATACTAGATTATTTGTATTATTTTGTATTGTTATGTAGTTCTTGGTCTTCCTAACTAGGTTATATACTTTTTTATTCAAAGAATACATCATCTTGCTTTTATGTTCTTCTTGTAAAATCACTAGACTCATTCTTTTTTTACTTCTATTATAGAAGTTTTTTACTTCTATGATAGTAATAATGGCCATTTCTTTTATTCAATCAACAAATGTCTATTGAGCCATTTACCTCCTCTGCTTTCACACTGACACAATTTCTTTGGTCTTAGCTATCTCCTTAAAGCTCAGACTTTCGTCTTTTGTTTTTCTCTTTTTATTCTTTTCTTCTTCCACATATTTAGTGATAATGAGATCCTCCATAATTTATCTCAAGCAATTTGACCTACCTTATTTGTAAATGGCACATAGTATGCTTCCCTGTCTCTATATCCTTTGGCTATTTTCACCTTCCAGGAATGTCTTTTTCCCTCCCAGTGCTCAATACCTGTTTGTCCTTATCATACCTAATTTTAAAAGCATAATTCTAATGTTACCCATTTTTAGGAATTCTCCTTCATCTCCAAAATAAAATTTAGAAATAATTCTTTATCTGCATTATCTTAAATTTTTACTTTATTCTTTTACCAACCAGAACACTTTTCCAAAGTAGCAATTCTAACTTGCTTTTTAAATGTGTTATTGCCGATTTAAATAATTTATTTCTGTGCTTTCATTTTTTACTTTTCTTATATATTTAAGGTTACTTTGTTCCATGTTTAGGTTCTTATATAAATATTTAATATATTATTTTATAAACTAATAAAGGTATTTACAGCAGTATGTTTTCTCAAGTACTACTTTGGCAGTTTTCTATAATCTTGTTATATTGTAGCGACATTCTTATTTAACAAAAACAAAGAGCATTTACTGTTTAGATTTCAACCATGTCTCAAACATTACATATTTACAGATTAGTGTGAATTATATATTATCTCCCTATATAGGTCTTCCTTCAACTCACTTTGGCGGAAAGTCTAAAATTCAGGCATCTATCCAGTTCAGACCCTCTAACTTCCATAAGAAGTTATCAGTTTTACTCTCTGCTTGATTATCCATGCATATGAATCAGGCCTACTATATATAATCTAGCATTTCTAAACTCCAGGTTCTTGTTAGAGAAAATAAACTCTCAACTCTTAAACCCAAAAACTTAATTGTCAAAAAGATTACCTAAAGGATGTATAGTCTGTCCACTTCCCTATCTATTCTACATGTTACCCTCAACCCAATCCAAATTATTTTAGAATTTTTTGCTAAGACTCTATTATACCCTAGATAGAGTTATCTTTTCCAGCCTACACTTTGACATCATGCTTTCATCTAAATCAAGAAATATGTAAGAAGTTTTTGTAAGAAACATTTATCTTAATATCATTATTATATAATATTTTTGAGGATATTATCCATACAATGTTCCTCAAAAAAGGTCTTTTTCTCCAAGTACCCAGGTAAAACATTATTGACTAAATCCTACTTTCCTCTGGTTACTATGTTGTTCAGAACAATTATGTGGCTCAGCAAACATAGATGACCTTATGATATACATTTTTAGCTTTGACTCTACCTATAGTTTCTTCTCACTTTTTTACAACCACTTCCCTTACCCCCTGCCACATACACACATTCCTATGTTCAGTTTTTACTTTCTTTGTGTATCTCTGTAACTTCAAATTCTCTTTTGCAATGTGGGTGATATAAATAAAAAATGGGGTTAGATATACTTTGAGATATGTTTATATCTCTTTTCTCAGATATATTGCTTTTTAAAATTAATTTGGAAAGACCTTATTGAGAGACAGTGTATTATAAGAAAAATACTGTATGATCTCACCTATAAGTGGAACCTAATCAACAAAACAAGCAAGCAAGCAAAATATAACCAGAGACATTGAAATAAAAAACAAACTGACAGTAATCAGAGTGGAGCAAGGAGAGAGATAACGGGAAAGAAGGGGAAAGGTTGTCAAGGAACATGTAAGGTATAAAGGACCCACGGACAAAGCCAAAGCGGGATAGGATTGAGGGTGGGACAGGGGAAAATGGTGGCGGGAAAATGGAGACAACTATACTTGAACAACAATTAAAAAGAAAAAACAACAAAGAGTTGGAAACCTGGGATCAGAAAGATGTAAATCCCATCTCTCCTTATTGACTGTACGATATTAGACAAGTAACAGCATCTCTAAGCTACATTCTGCTAGTCCATAAAGAGGAAATAATGACAGTGTTGATCTCATAGGTTGTTCTGAGAGTAAGGGTAGCATCTACCTTATAAGGTTTTTATAAAAGATAAATAAAAATGCATATGAAGTTCTTAGTATAATGTCTTGCACTTGGGAAGTGCTTATAAATATTAGCTATTATGATACTAAAGTGTATTAGGGAATGGTAATGTAGAATACCTGAAATTGTTGGCAAAAACTTATTTGGAGAGGAATTCTACATATATAATGAAATTCTCAAAAGGAACAATGATCAAAAAAAAAAAAAAAAAAAGAATAAGAGCCACTGAAGACCAGGATTGCTCTTTAAAATATTTTAATTTTGATTCTACCTTATTTATGTACCATCCCATCCAGACTTTGATAAAGGTTGATGTCCGAAAGATTACATTTAATCTAATATTTAACTAGTTTTTCTTAGAAATTTTTTGAATAAATATTATTGAAATTATGTAATGACCTTTTTAATTATAGGTATTTTTATTCTAAAATCTAGTGTATTATTATAATCTGTTCTATATGCATGGGTATAAGACATTACTTTTTGTCTGTTAACATTTTAAGTGTCTCATTAACTGAGACAAAATATGATAGAGTTTGGTAAGATTTCTTTTACAAAGTCTTTATAGGGTAAAGAAATAGTTTATATATTTATTGAAATTATTGTTTGTACTGGTCTTTTTCTTTCATTTGTTTTTTTGTTTTGTTTTTTGCTGTTTGCTTTCCTTCATTTGTATGATCTTGGCACATTTGGTTTTATTTACATTTTTGGGGTTTTTTTTTAATTTAATCTTTATTGTATTTTTTCCATTACCGTTTATCCCCCTTATACTCTCCTGCCCCCAGCAATCACCACACTGTCCATGTCCATCAGTCCTTTTTCCTTTTTGCTCAATCCGTTCACCCCCAAACTGGTTCCCCTCACTAGCTATCATCCTATTCTGCATCTATGAATCTGTTCTCATTTTCCTTGTTTGTTCAGTTTGTTCATCAGATTCCACATATGAGTGAAATCATATGGTATTTGTCTTTCTCTAACTGATTTATCACTTAGCATAATGCATAATGTTCTCCAGGTCCATTTATACTGTTGCAAAGAGTAAATTTTTCTTTTTTTTTTTCCCGCAGACAAGTAGCATTCCATTGTGTAAATGTCCCATAGTCATTTTATCCACTCATCTACTGATGGACACTTGGGCT